CAGAGGAGACCTTCAGGATCCCTCATTGTATGATCAAACTTATACTTTTGGCTGGTAAAGGAATCAGATCGAATACTCACTCACTGTGATTAATGTTTTTGAATGCTTGGTTCATAATGAATGATTTGATGTTAAACAAATATAAAGAATTGTAGAATCACATTAACGAACATTCTCATTATGCTTTGAGTATCACTTTTCAAAGAACATTGTTAAAAAAGTACATGTTAAATTACTCTGAAATGAAACAGATAGTAACACATATAAACTGTGAATAACACAAGGGTAAACACATGTACATGAACTTACAATTAATAATAATTAATAACATTTAAAAAAGGATTCTACAGACCAACACTCAGATTAGTATCTAATAGTATAACTACCTAATGGTTAACAAAGCTTAACAAATGATTAAGAGATAAACTAAAAATTTCTACACTATTTCTACTAGAATAAGGTTGTAATTAAAACATAATAACTTCAGCTCTTGAAAGTTCATGAAACAGTTTGGAAAGCTGTTGATCTCAAGGAACTTTGTGACTGAAGGATTTATTCTGTCAGTGTGAAATTATGGCTTGTGAACATGATCGGCAAATGGGACAAAGACTGTTTTCCTGCACATGTTGAGTACTGACAGAAGACCATGGTGTGGTGTCCATCCAACCTGAAATTGGACTAGTTGTAGTTATTCTCTTTAGATTGTACTCACAGGGGTATGGGGAAGATCAACCAAATGTAGGATTCATGGCTGAGCTGATAAACCTGACGCTTCCCAGTCAAGGTGTGATGGCAGATGTTTATCTGATGACGTGGTCCTGTAGTTCTTTCCTGCTGGCCATAAACAATGTCTCGGTCTCTTTGAAGTGAAAAGGATAGGAGGTTTGTCCTTTTGAGAAGGCTTCTTTGGTTATCTTCTATAAAGACAGGAGGCTGTAGAAAGATCGTGATTTGGTGTTGAAAGTTTAGACCATCTCGTCTCCGGTGACCAGATGTAAGCCTTAAATTCCTTTGGGGGGTTTAGATGAGGAGGTGGTTGTCTCTGCTACAGATTACAACAATATCATACTGATATCAGAAATGAGTGTGACAGGTGTTTATTAGTCTTTTTGACATGTTACAATCATGAGGATAAAGTCATGGACTAAACTTGGGCTCCCAGTTTCCTTGTTGTTGTTGTTGTTGCTTCAGCTAGCATCATTGTTTTCATCACAGTTAATAAAGTAATGATGATGCTTCATAAATTCAGAGTCACAAAAAAACACCAAACAAACCAAATGTGAAAAATCTGTTTTGATTTTCAGTTTTCATGTGGAGTAATACAGATACATCTGTTAAGGCTTGAGTTTTTAGCTGGACCCAAAAGGCAGGAGACTTCAAGTCAGTTCAAAAGTTTTATTGTCTTGCACAAGACATAGAAAAATTACACAAACTAAGAAAAAATACTTGCAGGCTGCAGCTGCTACAGGGTGTCTGACCACCACACTTAAGACCAGAGCAAGATTAGGCACCGAGGCACCAATTTTAAAAAAAAAGAAAAAAACACAAAACAGAAGGTGATCAGGATGGATTGAATGTTCAGAGAATCTAGAAAAAGCTTTCACCTGGAAACCTGAACCTGGCATCACTGAATGAGACGGAATTATCTGGCAGAGTCGTGGAGGGTGAGCCGGTTGCTATGGAGAGGTGAGTTGATTGCAGAGTGCCATCAGGTGTGCCCTGCTACACACAGCCAGAAAGAAGGAGGTTCCTGCAGCAAAATCAGATTAGAGACTGATCTAAATGAAATGTGAGTGAACTCAGCCATCAGTGAATCAATGACAAAGTGAGAGGAAGAGTGGATCTGTCTGCTGTCTGACCTTGTTGATCCTGATGAAGGTGAGGGAGAAGAGTAAAGCAGTAAAGGTGATGTTGTTGCAGACAGAGTCAGCTGACCTGTCTCATCAGAGTCTCATCCGTTCTCTGTTTGGCAGAGCGCTGATGTTACAGTCTGAGAGCACATTCAGGTTCAGCTTCACATGGGCTGGATCTGCTAAATACAAACTCTTGAGACCAGCCTGGTTGAGGTAGGTGGACTCAGTGTCCTGGGTGACTCTCTCTGAGCTCTTCTTGGTTGAGAGTATTTCTGGTTTGTCTCTGACTTCCATGAACTCAGATCTGGAGGATTGCTGGCTGGTCCGGTCCAGTTCTGACAGTAGAGACAACACAGTCTGTTATTCTGGGTTGAGTGTTCTTGTTGAAGATCAGTGTACAGTGAGGGATGAAGGCAGACAAAGATCCTCCCGTTTCCTCCATGTCACAGTTCAAGTTCATTTTGAAGACTTTGATTGATCCGAGCGCCGAAGAGGAACAGGAAACGAGGAGTAGAGAGTGAGGAAGGACTTTCAGCAAAGGATCATGGGAGTCCAACCAGTAACTGCTGCAACAAGGACTCCACCTTCTGATCATCTGAACCTCTAATCCAGACCAGTGCTCCATCACATTTGATGTCTGTTATTTTACATGGAGGGTCAGAGCAGAGCAGATCATGAGCTCTGACAGACTGGATCTGGTCCAAAGGTCTCCTGTTGGAGTTCTCTAAGCTCCATATTTTAAACCTGAACACGTGAAGTTTGATTATTAATTATTTTTATCTTCATTCTCTTTCCTTTTTCAGACTGTTGAACTGCAGTTTGTCAAAGATCAGCTGTTCTTCTCTGGTCTCAGCTCTGAAGTCCAACCCCTCCCATCTGAGATATCTGGACCTGGGTTACAACGATCTGCAGGGTTCAGGGGTGAAGCTGCTGTGTGACTTTCTGCAGAGTCCAAACTGTAAACTGAAGACTCTCAAGTGAGACTTTTTTCCTCCATTCAAACATGATCATGATTTGTTTGTGATGATGACACTAAACTGCTGACTCAGGACTGAAATACTGACCCAGACTTCAGTCCAGAGTAGATTTTCTGCATCAGTGGATTATTTGATTGACTCCAGTTAGATCACTGCTGAGCTCAAGTGAATGAAAACCTGAACCCAAGAAAAGACTCTTTGTAGAGTTCACAGTGAGAAGCACATTCAGACAGAAAACAGAAGCAGGGGGAGATTTGTCAGACGAGAACCATTCAAACTTTTGTTCAGGACAAGATCAGGGAATAGAAAAAACTCAGAGTTTAGTTTCTGACACTGATGAAAGTCCAGCTCTGTTACTTTGAATTTGTTTTTGAATATTTGTGTGAAAATCTGAATTTTCTGGTTTATCTGCACTTTTCTGAAGCCTTGCTGTGTTTAGACTGAAATATTTTCCTCTCAAAGACGTGATATTTTTGGTTCAGCAAAGTGAAAATATTCTGAACATCCTTTTTTTCCCATCCGTCCTGAAGTCGCTGACATTTTCTGAAAATATTGAGCTGCAGCTACAATCAGTAAAAAAGTCTCAGAGTTTTTTATTTCACTATTTAATGTGTTTTTGAATTCACAGTTTCAAACTTACTTCCTGTTTGGTTCAGCTCTTTGGAGCGTCACTTTTCTTTGATTCATACTTTCCAAACCTTTCCCCTGAACTCGACAGATTTAAGACATCAGGTTTCAAACTGGATCATTTTTGTCTCAAATCTCATTATTTCCTCTTTATTTAGGTTGTGGAGCTGCAGTTTGACAAAGATCAGCTGTTCTTCTCTGGCCTCAGCTCTGAAGTCCAACCCCTCCCATCTGAGAGAGCTGTTCCTGAGCGGAAACAAGCTGCAGGATTCAGGAGTGAAGCTGCTGTGTGCCTTTCTGCAGAGTCCAAACTGTAAACTGAAGACTCTCAAGTGAGACTTTTTTCCTCCGTTCAAACATGATCATGATTTGTTTGTGATGATGACACTAAACTGCTGACTCAGGACTGAAATACTGACCCAGACTGAACACCTTCAGTCCAGAGTAGATTTTCTGCATCAGTGGATTATTTGATTGACTCCAGTTAGATCACTGCTGAGCTCCAGTGAATTAAAACCTGAACACAAGAAGAAAACTCTTTGTAGAGTTCACAGTGAGAAGCACATTCAGACAGAAAACAGAAGCAGGGGGAGATTTGTCAGACGAGAACCATTCAAACTTTTGTTCAGGACAAGATCAGGGAATAGAAAAAACTCAGAGTTTAGTTTCTGACACTGATGAAAGTCCAGCTCTGTTACTTTGAATTTTGTTTTTTAATCTTCGTGTGAAAATCGAAATTTTATGGTTTATCTGCACTTTTCTGAAGCCTTGCTGTGTTTAGACTGAAATATTTAACTCTCAAAGACGTGATATTTTTGGTTCAGCAAAGTGGAAAATATTCTGAACATCCTTTATTTCCCATCCGTCCTGAGTTTTTTATTTCACTATTTAATGTGTTTTTGAATTCACTGTTTCAAACTTACTTCCTGTTTGGTTCAGCTCTTTGAAGCGTCACTTTTCTTTGATTCTTACTTTCCAAACCTTTCCCCTGAACTCTACAGATTTAAGACATCAGGTTTCAAACTGGATCATTTTTCTCTAAAATCTCATTATTTCCTCTTTATTTAGGTTGAATAGTTGCGGTTTATCAAAGATCAGCTGTTCTTCTCTGGCCTCAGCTCTGAAGTCCAACCCCTCCCATCTGAAAGCTCTGTGGCTGAGTTTCAACGATCTGCAGGATTCAGACAAGAAGCTGCTGCGTGATCTTCAGAAGAGTCCAGACTACAGACTGGAGGATCTGATATCATTATAGTTGGTTTTAGTCTGTGCTGATCTCTCCTGTTACACTCCACACAGTAAAATGTTGAATGTTTATGACACTTAAATCTAATTTGCATAATAATTTGTAACAGTGTGTTTCCACAATTCTTTAAACAGTGACACTAAAGAGGTACTTAACACGTGATTTTAATTATAACGGCCTGTCAACACTTGATGCATGTTTTTAGCACTGGTTGTACAGTCTTCTGCTGATGCTACACCATCATCTCCTATCATCACAATAATAAGTTTAAATGTAGAGACTGAATGTCAAAGAGTGAGAGACAGTTAGAAAAGACGTTTATTTTGGTGCATGTGAGAAAGAAATGATTAACAAACATCTTGGTCCAGAGAATGAGGCTGATATGGAGCACCTCAGGTTAGATATTCACAGTATTAAACTGACCGACATCCATGAAACAGGTGAAGATGATAATCAGTCCAGGGGTCTGAATATCCACAGCTTAAAGAACCATAATAAAGATGACAAAGAAATGCAAAGTAACACATTTTTCCCCTAAAATTTTAAATCAAACATAACAAATGTTTTCTTTGTTTAATAATAATTTTGTTTTCCTTTAATTATGTTGGCAGGCCGAGTGCATATTGATCCGACAAATCTCCATTATTGACCGACGAGTGAATCTGCAGCACGGTGATGAAATGACTCAAACACAGAGAAAAGTTCTGCCAGCTTCCGTTCAAACAGTTCAGCATCAGTCCGATCAAAATGTCCTCAGACAGCTGTGATGTCATCGCACAAACAAGCCAGTCAGCTGTCCTCACTTCCCAGCAACCACAGACAGCTGGTCTCTGATGCGTCCCAGTCTGTTCAGTATGGAGTCCAGAGACAATCAGCTCAACTCCACCGTAACCCTGAAACACAAACAAGATTATAACCTCTGATGCCATTACAGTGGACTGCGTTCTGCCTGTTTTTGCTCTCCATACTGACTGACTATCCTGCCAACACCAATGGGAGCCATCCGTCCCAGACAGCTCCTATTGGTCAATCTCCTGGTCCACCTCTCCATCCAATCATCTTGCTGTATTCGACACACCCCTCTCCCGTAGTTCCGACTCGTCCCCTCCCACTCTACCGGCCCTCCTCAGAGCTCTGAGCGGCTAAAAGTAGCGTAGCAACTTAGCTACAGGAGCTGTGATGGAGAAGGACGCAAAAAAGAAAAAAAAACACTGCTGCTCGCCCCACCACCAAAAGTGGGAAGAAAACGCAGGCTGACAGAAGAAAGGGCGGAGTCAAGAGGAAATGCGACGAAGTGAGGGAGAGTTTTTGTTGAACAGGTAACTTTTATCACCTTTTATCGTGGCACGTTACATAAATAACTCTTATTAGTTTCTGCGATGACAACATGGTAGCTGTCCAGGCAGCTGCAGACGGCGCTCACTAGCAGAGCTGGCGTTTACTGCCGCTAGTCACTAACAATCCGACATGGTAAATCCTATTTGAAGCTAGCGCAGGACCATACAATAATTTATACATCAATTGTCAAATATTTGGAAAACCATTCCAGTTGTTTAGCCAACTTTTTGGAAGGAGGGGGGCTTCTTCATTTAACATTTTGAATGGGACTTTTTTTTTAATGTTTTTGTTGTTCATTAAAATAATTGATTGTTCCTACAAGAATTAAAACTAAAGTTCTTCTCAAATAAATCTGTTAAAATGTCATGTTTTTTAATTGTATTATTTTGTATGTATGTCTGCTGATGACAAAATAAAAATATTTACATTTATGTTTGGATATGAAACAGTTTGTTTAAATTACCCACAATTTCCAATTAAAGGTGGGGTAGGCAGGATCTGAGCAAGTGAATGAAAATCCCCGCCGCCAAACAGACGCTCCTGCTTGCTCGTATCGTTCCAATTAAATTCAGATATAATGCAGATAAATACTTCAGATCATTACAAATGGGGCCCAGTCAAGGTGAAAGTCAAAAGCATTGGTGCTACTGTGGATGCCAACAGACTACCAGCAAACACAATGTTTGCAGGACTTCTACAACTAGGATAAAGTGACATAGTCCAGGACCCGAGGTCAACAGTTTAGCGATGGCGCTACAACACACTACAGCAGGTCCGTTTGACAAGAAACACTTCTGTTACAGACACTTGTCTTACTTTGTTAAAGCGGTTTACCTGTCCAGCAGAAAGGTTACAGGGTCACCAAGATCCCCAAGCGTCCCCCATCGTTTATGTTCAGGGAACCTCTGCAAAGGCACTCCGCTGGGAACAGAGGTTCTCCGGCCCCCACCTGCGCACCACCGCCACCGCCACGTCCTCGCCCACTGTTCCCGCCGACCACGGCAATCATCGGAGACTTCATCGTGACGCACGTCCGTTTTTTTTAACGCAGTAACCCACTGCTTCCCAGGCGCCACTGTCCCAACTCTCCTCCATAAACTCCCGGAGCTGCTGGGCTCACTCCCATCCTCCATCACGAGGCTGGTTTTACACCTGGGTTTTAACGACACTTCCTCCTGTCATTCTGAGGTGACCAAGGACTATTTTAAGAAACTTTTTAAGGTTCTCACCGACTGCGGTAAGTCTGTTTTTATCTCGGGGCCCCTCCCCTCCTTCGATCGTGGCATGGGGCGCTTCAGTAGACTCCTCAGCCTGAACACCTGGCTCCATTCCGCCTGCCCTTGCGGGTTCCGTTTTATTGACAATTTTAACTTGTTTTGGAACCGCTCCCCGTTCTACAGGGCTGACGGAGTCCACCCCTCTCGCCTGGGCAGCAGGGTGCTCGGCGACAACATTTGACATGCTGTCCAGTCCACATACACACCTACACACACACCCACACACACACCTGACACACACACGTGACTGATTTCCCCCTCTTCCTCTGTGTCACTGTCCCAAGCCACTACCGCCACCACCAGCCCCCCCCTACCGCCCACCCCCAGTACTACACCATACCACTGCCACTTCTCCTCCAATCTCATCCTCTGCCTGCATACAGTCAGTTTCACCAACACCTCACTCACAGTTCACCCCCATATCCTGCATCCCAGTCAGAATCTCACACCAAGCCCACAGAACATTCCCTTCACGAACCATCAACTTAACTCCAGTCACACTGGCTCCCATTTCACCACTGCCTGAGGATGAGCGCACGCTCGGCACAAACACTAATATGGCCGTGCTGAACGTGCGCTCGCTTTTAAATAAGACGTTTATCATCCATGATCTGATTTTAGACAATAATTTAGACATTCTCCTTTTAACAGAGACATGGCTTGGCACTGATGCTTCAATTGTTCTCACCGAGGCTTGCCCCCCTAATTTAAATTTTTTACTTTCAACAAGGGGGGGTAGAAAGGGAGGAGGCACTGCCTCAATATTTAAAAACAAATTGTGCCCAAATGAAGATTCTTTTAACAGTTTTACATCATTCGAATACCACGCATTTGTTTTTAGCAGTCCTCCTACTCTCTGCATTACAATTTACAGACCACCCCACTACTCCAACTCTTTTATCAGCGAATTTTCTGATCTATTATCCATCTTACATACTACCCATAACAGGATTTTAATAACTGGTGATTTTAACTTGCACATTGATACAGCGTCTGATCCAATGTCTAAGGAGTTTTTAAACCTTTTAAATTGCATGGGTTTTAAACAGCATGTGGCACAGCCGACTCACAACAGAGGGCACACCCTGGATTTGGTCATAACTTCCGGCCTATCCACTGGTGTGTCCTCTGTTGTCGACCTGGCTGTGTCGGATCACTACTGTGTGTATTTTAATATCACCAGTTTTAACCATCAGGAGGCCCCGGTGAGAACGGTGAGGAAACGCTACCTAACCCCCGAAATGGCTGCAAATTTTATTGGGATTTTACAGAGCACTCCTGCCGCAATTTTACCTGCACCATGCGATTTTATTGTGGACCATTTTAACAGAACATTAAAAACCACATTGGACACAGTGGCTCCACCCGTAATTAAAACTATTAAAACAAAACCCTTACCCCCATGGAGAAAAAACAACGAAATCAGAAACACAAAGAGAAAATGCAGGAGTGCCGAACGCAAATGGAGAAAAACCAAATTAACAGTTCAGCTCGAAATACTACAGGACTCACTCAAAAAATACAACAATGCAGTAAAAAAGGCAAGAACAGCCCACTTTTCAAAACTCATCACAGACCATAAAAACAATTCCAAATTCCTCTTTTCCACCATCGACCTTTTAACAAACTCCCATTTTAAAAAATCTTTTAAGACCCCCACAGACGCCCTCTGTGAGGCCTTTGCAGACCACTTCGGGAGTAAAATTGATGATATTAGATCTAGTCTTTTAACTCATCAGAATGTGATTTCCAACACATCTGAACAGCCGATTTTACCTGAGGAAACACTGGAGAGTTTTGCCCTGGTTGACGCAAGGACACTTGGTCGAGTTTTCTCCCAAGTAAACCCAACTACCTGCCTTTTAGTTCCGATTCCCACATTATTTTTAAAAACATTTTATGAATTTTTTGAGGAACAGATTCTAACCATAGTAAATTGCTCTCTTCAGACAGGGGTCTTCCCCACTGCCTTTAAAACGGCGGTGGTGAGGCCCCTTCTGAAGAAGAGAAATTTGGATACTGATGTTTTTAATAATTATCGACCCATATCCAACTTACCGTTTTTAAGTAAAATCTTAGAAAGACTGGTTTTTAACCAAGTAAATTATTTCTTAAAAAGTAATAATATCTTAGAGAAGTATCAATCCGGTTTTAGGATGAACCACAGTACCGAGACAGCCCTTTTAAAGATTTTAAATGATATCAGGTGTAATGCCGATAAACAGAAACTCACAGTTCTGGTACTACTGGATCTAAGCGCTGCCTTTGACACAGTAGATCACCAGATTTTATTAAGCAGACTCAGGCACCTGGTGGGCCTCTCTGGTACTGTTTTTAACTGGTTCAGTTCTTATCTCTCGGAACGATCCTTCTTTGTAAGTATGGATACCTGTTCCTCAAAAACTCATGAAATTAAGTGTGGGGTGCCCCAAGGGTCAATTTTAGGTCCAATACTTTTTAATCTCTATATGCTTCCCCTTGGGGACGTCATCAGGAGACACGGCATCAGCTTCCATAGTTACGCTGACGATACACAGTTGTACATCGCCGTGTCTCCTGAGGACACAGGGCCTATTGATGCCCCTTTTAACTGCATTTTAGATATCAAGTCATGGATGGCAGAGAATTTCCTACAGCTCAACCAGGACAAAACAGAAGTTTTAATTATTGGTCCTGAAGGCAAGAGAGAGAAACTTTTACCAAAACTACAAGATTTTAAACCTGCTCAATCTGCTAAGAATCTGGGCGTAATTTTTGACTCTGAGCTGAATTTTATTCCACATATCAAGAACATAACAAAGATAGGTTTTTACCATCTTAAGAATATAGCCAGAGTCCGCCCGTTTCTCTCTCAGGCCAACACGGAGGTGCTGATGCATGCTTTTATTTCTAGTCGTTTAGATTACTGTAATGCCCTGCTCTCTGGTCTTCCCAAAAAGACCACTCACATGTTACAACTGCTACAAAATTCTGCAGCACGTGTGCTGACGAGGACCAGAGGGCGGGAGCACATTACACCGGTTTTAACCCTCCTGTTGTCCTCAAGTTAAGACCTACATCCCATGTCTCAAGGGTCACACTGTCCCAGTCCGCACTGACTGGGGTCTTTTTGACCCAGTGAAAGGTCCTGTAGTCCTCACACAGTAAAAAAAATAAAAATAAAAATAAATAAAAAAATAAACCTGCATCCCACGTCTCAGGGGTCACACTGACTGGGGTACTGACTGGGGTCTTTTTGACCCAGTGATGACTGGGGTCTTTTTGACCCGGTGAAAAGTCCTGTAGTCCTCACACAGTAAAAAAAAAAACTTGCATCCCACGTCTTAGGGGTCACACTGTCCCCAATGTGGAAATATATACTCACACACATATAGTAATAATAATAATAATAATAATAATAATGATAATAATAAAATTAACAAAATAATAATAATAATAATAATAAATAATAATAATAATAATAATAATAATAATAATAATGAGCAGACGGAGGGGAGGCGAGAGATGACCTGATATCTCTAGCCGATACCACAGTGTTGAGCAATGATGTTTTGATCAGAAGGACAAAGTTGAATTTTATGATGAATGACGAGATGTCCTTTGAGGATTGGTACAGCTACTATTATGACTTTTAGCCATAAAACAATGTTGTGTTGTGCGCAAATAAAGTTATCATCTGAAGCAAAATTGCCAGCTTTCGCATCTTTATTGAGTAAGCAAGAATATGTAAGCAAGCATAAGCTACAGCACGAATTCACATTTTAATAATAATAATGATAATAATAATAATAATAATAATAATAATAATAATAATAATGCATTTTTAGGCACATTTCAGCGGCAGTTCTTCCTAAATCTTTCTATAGAAGCATGCTCATACAAACACTTGAAGGAAAAAACAAGTTCGCAAAGTCTTTACACCCCCCCCTACACACACACACACACACGTCTTACATCGGACGCTCCAGTTCGCTCGCAGTGAGCAAGAATCTACAGTTAATCACAAAGTTTACTCCATCGACCTCACAGATATGTGACAGCAGACTTGTGAGTCCGGAGAAATGTAGACCCGATCCAAACGTGAAGCCCCATTTATTAAATGTTACTTTCAGCCTCTTCCCCTTGGCGTCCATAATCCCAAACAGGTATCCCGGACTGTCATCATCTACGCAGCAAATTAACGCCGCTGGCGTAACAGAGGGTCCTTCCTTGTTTTGTAGATACTCTATTATGCGATGGGGTTGGGAAACGTCACACCATCCACTTTTAAGCAAATCTAAAACGCTCCACATATCATCCACTACCCGTGTAAGAGAAAAGTTCTGGGGATCGGAATTATCGTTGTGGGTCGGGGGAGCAAGTGTGTGTAGGTTTCACGGGCCAGCTTTCTCAACATGTCGATCGGACACGAAAAATCACCTTCCGCCAAGTCAGCGCATACGTAGCGTCTTCGACGGATAAGCAAAGGAAGTGACAGCAGGCCACTTTCGGTCTTCACTGTGAAAGAACAAACCCCCCCCGGGCGTGTCACCGAAGCACGCCGAGACGACGATATCCCCGACGCGACGTCTCTCGGATGAATCCATGAAGGTCCTGATGGACTCTTCTGACACCGAGCCCCACCAGCGCTCACCCAGCCAACCGACAAACGATTTCCACGATTCCTGCAATTCGGTCCAGCGGCAGGTAGATGCGTAGCGGTTATTTGAGCCAAACTCCTCTTGAACTTCTTCCTCGCAATCCCACAGCACGATACAGATCTCATCGTTTAAAAGTTCGGACTGATCCATAAAGCTGTTACGTGGTAAATCAGCTTCACCGGTATCTTCCGCGTCACCTGGAGTTCCGAGGCTATCACCGTAGGGATAACACTCCTCGTCTTCAACAACGTCACCTTCTACGTGTCTTTCCGATAGCAGGCCACGACGATCGTATTCTTCGTCGGGAGTATTCCTCCAGGCCTCATCTTCACCGAAGCGTCCTTCGACTTCTAGCTCCGCAGCGTCATACTCATACTAATCGTCATACTCATGGCGGCTCCGAGGACTGTCAGAATCTCGGTAAAAGTCCGCATCGCGGTCACTCGTGCCCCTCAAGTCCCTCGGAGTTTGATGCTCATCAGAGCGGTCGAAAAGTTCACGCTGATCCGCAAAGCTGTTACGCGGTAAATCAGCTTCGGCGGTATCCTCCACGTCACCTGGAGTTACAAGGCTATCGCCATAGGGACGATGCTCCATATTTTCTACGATATAATTTTCCACACGTCTCCTTGATAGCCATCCATAGCGGTCATGCTCTTCATCAGGATTATTCTCCCAGGCCTCATCTTCATTGAAGTGTCCTTCGACATCTAGCTCGGCGGCGTCACTGCGGTAATCGTCATACTCATAGTGGCTCCGAGGACTGTCAGTATCTCGGTAAAAATCGACATCGCGGTCACTTGTGCCCGTCAAGTCCCTCGCAGCTTGACGCTCGTCAGAGCGGCGGGACCCCTCCTCGCGCTCATCGCTCTCCTTTTCGCAGTAGTTGTCGTCATTCACAGACACTGTGTTATCCGGATGAATCGATGTCGGTGACGGTGAAGCAATCTCGGATCGAGATGTAGAATCGGCGTAGGCAGAATTTGAGGTCAGACGATCGGATGTGTCCGACGCAACTACGGCTACTTTGCAGTAGCCGCGACAAGACTGCTTCGGAGGACTTGTGACACAAACGACGGTCTCGTAATGGCTGCTGCTATTTGCTAAATAAATCCCCTGTTTAGAGACCCGAACACTGTTGCAACTGTACTGAAACCAACGGTCAGTGTAATATGTGAATACGTTGACACCCAAATAATCTGCTGTTGCTTGAATCTCAACCTCTGTCGCCCAACTTCCTAGAGAGCTGATTTTAGATGCGTCAATGTAGTCTGACACCGAAAGGTAACCCCTTCTCAGAATGTTGGCATATGCAGCTTCATTGCTTTGCAAGTGATTCACTACAGCTTCTCTTATTCTTCCGTGATGGTGTTCGGTACCGCTCACAGCTACACTGACTGCCCTAAAGAAGCAATTCCCATCACTTTTAATCTTCACATTCTTACAAGGAGCTCCTAATTCACAAACATCCGTGAATTTGCTATACTGCTGTCTACAGTCTACCTTAAGCTTTCTGCACAGCTGTAATGCCACTGCCGCTCTAACTGGGTTAAAGTGTAGCTTTTTACCCATGTCGCCACTAACAACCTCAATGTCCGGGTCCTCGCTGTTCATTATGCTCTTGTGTCTTTTCAGCAGTTCCTGTGACATTTTCTTCTTTGGAAAGTCGTAAGTATTTCCTCTTCTGATGCAGTCCTGCCAGGCTGCCTCTCTGCCTCTAAAACTAGTCACCCCGGTTGCGGACAGTTCAACCGACCGCATCCCACGTCTCGAGGGGTCACACATGGTGTGTGTGTGTGTGTGTGTGTGTGTGTGTGTGTGTGTGTGTGTGTGTGTGTGTGTGTGTGTGTGTCGTCAATCAACCCGTCTCCAAATTCTCAGCAGCACACTCAGCGCAGTACGGGAGCGAACAACTTTTGCAGATATATTTCTTACACCCGCTGCACACAGTGGAAGTTTTGTTGTCCTTTGCCCGCGGGCAAAACTGACACCTCTTCCTCTTCCTCGCCCCGGTCGTGGCCCGCAGCTGCGTCTGCGGCCGCGGCCTTCCCTGTGTACACTTGCATCTTCCAAGCGTAACTGGATTTAGAGTCGCACGCCACCCACGTCTTGATCCCGTATTTCGCTGGCTTGCTGGGAATATACTGCCGAAAGGGACAACGCCCTCTAAACGGAACCAGCTGTTCGTCCACCGTTATCTCCGGCCCGGGGTTGTAGAGGGACGGCAGCCACTCGGACCACGCATCCCAGACCTCTCTTACGGCCGCCAGTTTGTCGACCGCGCGTCTGGCAGGTCTCGACTCGCGGTCGTCGAATCTCAGCAGTCTAGAGTAGGCGTGAAACACTTTCAGCGGCATCGTGGCGCGGAAGATGGACCGTCCGCTCTCAGCGTCCCACAGACTGGCGGTCGCCTCGCCTCGGGACCTGTAGACGCCAGCTAAAAGCAGCAGCCCCATGTAGGCGCGAAGGTCGACGGCATCCATGCGTTTCCAGCCATCTCCGATTTTCCGTCTTCCCTCCAAATTAGTCATCTCCAAGATGATGCGTTCTCTCGACGGGGTGATGAACATGAAAAAAGTGGAGGCGATGTCGCAGGCGTGGACGAGAGAATATTCAGTCGGTCCGGGTGGGCCGGTCGTCGGCGGTAACGCGACGACCGCATGTGCGGGGACGGCGGCGTAGCCTCACCGCTCCTGTCTTTTCTACTCCGCTCTTGTTTATCGTACGCTACGGAGGACCATATGATTTTGTCGTGTTTTGAGAGAAAAAACACATCTGTATCTTCTTTCGCTTGCTCCTCTCGCTCGCCTCCTATTACCCTTTGTTCTTCTTCTTCTTCTTCTTCTTCTTCTCCCCCCTCTCTTTCCATTTGCTCCTCTCTTTCTTCTGTTACCCCTTCTTCTCCTTCATCTTCTTCCTCAATTTCTTCTTCATCTTCTTCTCCTTTTTCTTCTTTATGCTCTCCTTCCTCTTCTACCTCTCTTTCCATTTGCTCCTCTCTTTCTTCTGTTACCCATTCTTCTCCTTCATCTTCTTCTTCTTCTTCTTTATGATCTCCTTCCACTTCTACGGGGAGGGTCCCCCCTCCTCGGGATGGTCTTGGACTGTAGCCGCAGAGGCCGTCGTCTCTCGGGGGGGGGAGGAGACGGCTTTGTGTCGCTCCTCTCCGTCGATTCGCAGATGAACCCCTCGATCCCCGGTTTCCGTCGGCGCGCGGCGCGTCAGAGGCTGAATATGAGGAGCGGGGACGCGTCGTCTCAGAACCACGAATTCGTTCTTCTCGTTCCCCCGAAACCGGCCGCTCACCTACCAAACTGAACCGTTCAAGGTGAAACGCAACCGGCTCGGCGGAAGAGAAGAACAGACACGTCGGCTCAGAGACGACGTGACCGTTCCTCGCAGGATGGCCAGTCGTGCAGAGGGCACTGTAAACAAAAAACAAACAAACAAACAAACAAACAAAAAAGAAAACAATACACAAGCAGTGTAGAAACACACACACAGGTCACACACACACACACACACATATTAATAATCGCGCAGAGGCCGGACGCTCTCCGGGGAGATGTAGCCGCAGAGGCAGGAAGCTCTCGGGGAAGAGCGCTTTTTCTTGCTCCTCTCTGTCGACTCGCAGACGAATCCTCGACCCCTGCGTCTCCGTCCGCGCGCCGTGCGTTTCATCGTTGTCCTCTCTCAGCCGCGGTCCGCTCCTTTTTCTCGAGATCGAGGTCTCGAGGTCGAGATCGTCTTCGGCTGTAGCCGCAGAGGCCAGCCAGTACAGGAGAGCGCTTTTTTCTCCTCTAAGTTGATTCACAGACGAATTTCCTCCTTCTTCGCTCTTCGCTGTGAAAAGAGTCTGTGCAACAGAAGAATACAGCGGAGGTTTTTAGTCAAACGTTTTCACGACAGGGTAAAGAAGGAAAACATTTGTTTTTTCCCTCTTTCTCCGCTCCTGCGGATCCAGTGCCCCCGTACTGCGAAAAGAGTCAGTGCAACAGAGGAACACAGCAAAGGTTTTCAGTCAAACGTTTTCACGACAGCGTAGCAGAGGTGAGTTTTTAGATAACCATTTTGACAAGCAGAAAGAGCTGAGGGTGAGTTGACCTCGACCCTCCGCCGCGCTTTTTGTGCATAACGGGTGGAGGGCGTGTGTGTGCGTGTGGATTCAAAGACTCGTTTCTGTGTCATGTATTTGTTATGCTCTTACGGATAGACAACCAAAAACAGCTAAGTCCAATCGAAGCGAATCGTTCAGTCAGGAAGGTGAGCTAACGAATGATTGAATGCGACTCAGCGTAAGAGCAGAGCAAATTTACAATTCACAAAACAGAGCGGGATCAAAACGACTGCACAACTCAGTGGTCGCGGAGAGAGACATCCATTTCATTCGGCCTGCAAAACAGAGACAGAGAGAGAAATGTGGCTTAGGGGATACGGAGCTATCACGGTGATATAAATATATTCATGTCTTTACATAGATAGATAGATAGATTGATAGATAGATAGATAGATAGATAGATAGATAGAGAATACTTACTGTTCTCTGGTCTGTCCTCTACGGTCCCAGTTGTCGGTCTGCAAACCTTTTGAGTAAACTTTTCTGTTTTTCTGTCCTCCTTGGCAACAACGGCATGAACAGCCCTGTGGAATGCAACGCGACTGTGAAGGGAAAACAAGATCCTGTAAACGCATGTTGAGAGAAGGGGGGAGAGGGGGAGAGAGAGAGAGAGAGAGAGAGAGAGAGAGAGAGAGCGAGAGAGTGAGAGAGAGAGAGAGACAAACTATATTGTTTGACTGGATTTCTGAGTTGATCTAAAATCCGAACAGATTTTGTCGTTCTAGGAATTCACAATACCCTACACTACTACGCGTTCACATTGTTTTGTTGGAGCTATTACAGCTATTCCCTTGCTTTAAAAGCACACAGAGTAAGAAGATGAACAAAAACAAATAGAATAGAATAGAATATTCCTTTATTGATCCCCCATGGGGAAATTTTTTTTGTCACAGCAGCATCACAGACAAGACAAAAAGTGCGAACATGCAGTTATAACAATAAGGGTATAAATAAGGTGCAAAAAAACAACAATAAGAAGGCAAAAACGTGAAGTCTGTGAGGAGCTGCTGTGACTTGCTGCCACTCTCAGGGCGCACGAGTCACGAAAAACGCAAATATATTCATGTCTTTACATAGATAGATAGAAAGATAGATAGATAGATAGATAGATAGATAGATAGATTATACTAACTGTTCTCTGGTCTGTCCTCTACAGTCCCAGTTGTCGGTCTGCAACACTTTTGAGTAAACTTTTCTGTTTTCTGTCCTCCTAGGTAATAACGGAATGAAGCGGCCCTGTGAAATGCAGCGCGACTGTGAAGGGAAAGAGAGAGCCAGTTACCGCATGTTGAGAGAGGGGGGAGTGAGAGAGAGAGAGAGAGTGAGAGTTTATTGATCCCCCATGGGGGAAATTTTTTTGTCACAGCAGCATCACAGACAAGACAAAAAGTGCGAACATTCAGTTATAACAATAAGGGTATAAATAAGGTGCAAAAAAACAACAATAAGAAGGCAAAAACGCGAAGTCTGTGAGGAGCTGCTGTGACTTGCTGCCACTCTCAGGGCGCACAAGTCACGAAAAACGCAAATATATTCATGTCTTTACATAGATAGATAGATAGATAGATAGATAGATAGATAGATAGATAGATAGATAGATTATACTTACTGTTCTCTGGTCTGTCCTCTACGGTCCCAGTTGTCGGTCTGCAACACTTTTGAGTAAACTTTTCTGTTTTCTGTCCTCCTAGGCAATAACGGAATGAAGCGGCCCTGTGAAATGCAGCGCGACTGTGAAGGGAAAGAGAGAGCCAGTTACCGCATGTTGAGAGAGGGGGGAGGGAGAGAGAGAGAGAGAGAGAGAGAGAGAGAGAGAGAGAGTGAGAGTGAAAGAGACAAACTATATTGTTTGACTGGATTTCTGAGTTGATCTAAAATCCGAACAGATTTTGTCGTTCTAGGAATTCACAATACCCTACACTACTACGCGTTCACATTGTTTTGTTGGAGCTATCACAGCCATTCCCTTGCTTTAAAAGCACACAGAGTAAGAAGATGAACACAAACAAAAAGCAAATACATTCATGTCTTTACATAGATAGATAGATAGATATAGAATACTTACTGTTCTCTGGTCTGTCCTCTACGGTCCCGGTTGTCGGTCTGCAACACTTTTGAGAAAACTTTTCTGTTTTCTGTCCTCCTAGGCAATAACGGAATGAAGCGGCCCTGTGGAATGCAGCGCGACTGTTAAGGGAAAGAGAGAGCCAGTTACCGCATGTTGAGGGGGGGGGGGGGGGGGTGAGAGAGAGAGAGAGAGAGTGAGAGAGAGAGAGAGACAAACTATATTGTTTGACTGGATTTCTGAGTTGATCTAAAATCCGAACAGATTTTGTCCAAAATCCGAACAGATTTTGTCGTTTTAGGAATTCACAATACCGTACACTACTACGCGTTCACATTTTTTTGTTGGAGCTATCACAGCCATTCCCTTGCTTTAAAAGCACACAGAGTAAGAAGATGAACAAAAACAAATAGAATAGAATAGACTATTCCTTTATTGATCCCCCATGGGGAAATTTTTTTTGTCACAGCAGCATCACAGACAAGACAAAAAGTGCAAACATGCAGTTATAACAATAAGGGTATAAATAAGGTGCAAAAAAACAACAATAAGAAGGCAAAAACGTGAACTCTGTGAGGAGCTGCTGTGACTTGCTGCCACTCTCAGGGCGCACGAGTCACGAAAAACGCAAATATATTCATGTCTTTACATAGATAGATAGATAGATAGATAGATAGATAGATAGATAGATATAGAATACTTACTGTACTGTAGTCTCTCCTCTACGGTCCTTTTTGTCGGTGTTCAACACTTTTGAGAAAACTTTTCTGTTTTCCTGTTAGGCAACAATGGAATGTCGTGTTCGGCACATTATGTGTAGTAAACCCGTTTTTTTGTTTGTTTGTTTGTTTTTGTCTGTATAGAACCTCTGTTGCAGGTCTGCCCCGTCCTGGGTGAGGGGATCTCTCCTGTGTTGCTCACCCTGAGGTTTCTCCAATTTTTTTTTGTTTTATTTCTCCATTTTTCCTCAGTTGACGTGAGGGTCTAAGGGCAGATGATGTTGGCATTATAATGCTATGTGAAACTCTCTGAGACAAAAGCGTGTGTAAAAACAAAATCCCCTTGCCTTTTCACTGTACTGCCTTTATTTTGTGATAGGTTGTGCTCATTTATATGAATTAGGTAGTGCGGCTGTTGTTATCTGTATTTGCAAGCTCTCTGACACTCTCTAAGTTTCCCTGCCGTGATGAATAAAGTTTTCACTCTATTCTACTCTACTCTTGTGATGGAACTTTTGTTGATACCAACATCCTTTCCTAAAAATTATTTTATTTTTTTTTTTTCCAGTCCTCCAAGTTTCCAAGTTTTCTTAGTCTCTATATGTAGTGTAGCCTTGAAAGTAAAACCTAGAGCTTTATGTTTTTTACAGTCCTCACGCTGTAAAATACGGGGGGTCCTCAACGCCACCACCCCACCACCACAGGATACTTGACTGGATGAGCGAGAATCGGGTCCAGGGGTGTATGCTGTTTGAGATGCGCGCTGGAACGTCAGGAGTCATGAGTTCAAATGAGTAAAAATAGGTAAATAAATAAATGAAAAAAAAAAAAAGTCTATGTACACCACGGTGGGGTATATTTGACCCTGCCGAGGGCAGGGGCGCGAGTTTACGATTCTCAAATCCATACTTGACTGGGGTCTATTCGACCCAGGCGGGGTAAAACAATCAGGAGTCATGGGTTATCTTAGTCCACGCTGACTGGAGGCTAAATTCACCCCACTAGGGCGAGGGTATACTGACTGGGTCTTTTTGACCCTGAAGGGCAGCACAAGGGTTAAAAGCGATGTGGGAATTGGATCTGAAAGGCAGGTTGTGGGGTTTACCTGGGAGAATACTCGACCAAGGGCCTTTGCATCAACCAGGCTAAAACTCTCCAGTGTCTCCACGGGTAAAAGCAGGGATCCAGGTGTATTAAGAACAGCATTCTGATGAGATAAAAGACTGGATCTGATGGTATCAATCTTGCTTCTGAAGTCGTCTGCAAAGTCCTCACAGAGGGTCACTGTAGGTGTCATGGACACATTAGAATCGGTGCTGGTTAAAAGATTAAAAGTGGAAAAGACAACAACCTCGGGTTGTTTTTATTGACAGTAATGAGTTTTGAAAAATGATTTCTTCTGGACAATTTCATTGCGTTATTGTAGGTTTTTAGTTGATCCCGGTATATTTCATAGTGGACTGTTAATTTGTTTTTTCTCCACCTTCTCTCTGCACTCCTGCATTTTCTCTTCAGTTGCTTGATGTTGCCATCTCTCCACGGTTGTGTTTTCTTAGTTCTTACAGTTTTAGTTAAAACTGGAGCAACTGCATCTAGTGATGTCTTTAATTTGTTGTTAAAATCATTGACAATAAAATCACAAGGTGCAGGTAAAATTTCAGCAGGAGTGTTCTGTAAAATCTCTATAAAATTTGCAGCCACTTCAGAAGTAAGGAAGCATTTCCTCACCGTTCTCACTGAGGCCTCTCGATGGCTAAAACTGGTGAAATTAAAAAACACGCAGTAGTGGTCAGACACCGCTAGATCAACAACAGAGGACACACCAGTGGACAGGCCATAACTTATGACCAGGTCCAGAGTGTGTCCTCTGTTGTGAGTTGGCTGGGCAACGTGTTGGTTAAAATCCATGCAATCTAAAATATTTACAAATTGTCTGGACATTGCGTCTGAACTGTTGTCAACATGTAAGTTAAAATCACCAGCTATTAAAATCCTGTTATAGGTAGAGTGTATGACTGAGAGAAGTTCTGAAAATTCACTGATGAAAACCTTGGGATGACGAGGTGGCCTATAGATAGTAATACATAGTATAGAGGGACTGCTAAAAACAAATGCATTGTATTCAAATGATGTATAACTGTTAAAAGAAACTTTCAATTCGATTTCAAGATAAAAGATGCAGTCCCGCCTCCCCTGCCTTCCCTGGTAGAAAATAAAAAGTTAAAATCAGGTGGACAGGCCTCAGAGAGGGAAACCCCTGCCTCAGTACCAAGCCATGTTTCTGTGA